CCAGCACTGATGATGTATATGAGCACAGCTGCAGCTGTGTTAATTATAACACCTCATTTTTATGAATTTAACTGCTTTTCACCCAACCCACAAAGTGTTAGGTGTTTCTCTAACATTACGAAATAACTATATTAAACAGTATGGCCGTACTGCAATCCTGGTTGTGTGGGAAAGTAGCTGCACAGTCTGTGCAAGTTGCAGAGGATTGGTTGGTTTTTAATGAGGCTATCAGCCTGAGGCAGTACAGGTAGAAACAGGTTTTCTCAGGTTTGTCACTCTCGAGAAATCTTGTATGTGTGCCAAAAGCTGCTACTGGAAGAGTAAAGGCAAGGGCCCGAAGGTGAAGACTAACTACAATGTCTTTGAAGATTTACGAAAACATGCAATTATGGTGTGTGACTCTGCCTACACTGACAACATACCGGAGCTGTAAACTGGCTTCAATGATCACGCAGTACTGGCTGATAATGAATGAAAAACTATTGAGAAAAATTCTATGTGGGTTTTTTATGTCTGTTTGTCACTGCCTGTGTAGTAGCATTTAGCATCATTAAAAGTGAAAGGAAATGAGCAAAGGTAGAAAGTAACTGAGTACATTTACTCAAGTACTGTAAATTACTATATATGATATCATATATGTATATGATCCTTTAATTTGTACTTTGACTTTACTATATACTGCATATAGGCAAATATTGTAATAATTACTTATCAGAATCAGAAGAATAAACAAAATACAGTATAATCATAAGACTTTATTAGTACTTTATGGTAAATTTACAAACTACCCAGCAGTATGTAAAGTACTTGCTCCACTTTAACCAGCTGCAACATTAAATGTGACACAATTGTGCACCAATAATATGTGGTGTTATGCAGATGATATTCAAATTTATTTTCCATTGAATGTCAAGAGAATCAACTCATTGCAGACCTTGATGGACTGCCTGAGGGACATTAAAGCATGGTTATCACGTAACTTCTTACATATTAATGAAAGTAAGACAGAATGTGTTTTAAGTGGTAACTCCGGTTTTGCTAATTCTGATATTCCTAGCTCTTTGGCCTTGTATCTAAGGCCTCATGTGAAGAATCTTGGGTGGTATTTGATAGTGCTCTTAAGCTGGATGAACAAATAAAATCTGTGGTCAAGCTTTTTTTTCAGTTGAGACTACTGGCTACAGTTTAACACTTTCTTTCTTTTAGTGATTCTGAAAGACAATTCATGCATTTTATTAGCTCTAGACTTGATTATTGTAACACACTGTATACTGCCATTTTTCAAGCTTCATTGTCTCAGCTCCAGTTGGTTCAAAATGCAGCTGCTCGTCTTCTGACTTATACATGACGTCATGAGCATATAACTCCACTTCTTGCCTTGTTCCATTGGCTTCCTGTTTGTTTTAGGATTGATTTTAAATTGTTGATGTTTGTCTATAAGGCTGTACATGGTCTAGCACTTTCATATATCTCTGAGCTTGTACATTTTTATGCTCCAGAAAGGACACTTAGGTCTTCTAACCAGTATCGAAGTCCAGACTGAAACACTGGGGAGACCGAGCTTTTTCAGTTCGGGCTCCTATGCTGTGGAATGGTCTGCCACGGGAGATTAGATCTGCTCCGAACCTGACTGTTATTAGATCACTTCTTAAAATGCATTTTTATTCACAAGCTTTTAACAATTTCACTGATTGATGAATTTGTTTTGATTAGGCATGTTTGCTGTTATTGTTTTATTGTGCAGGTGTGTTTTATCTGGGTTTATTTACTTAAATTTATTTTTTTACGTTTTACTGTAAAGCACCCTGGTAACGTATATTTAGAAATATGCTATATAAATAAATTTTGCTTGCTTGCAATAAACCAATAATATAACATCCATTAATGGTCTGCATAATAAGTACTTTTAATTTTGGTACTTTAAATGTATTGTTATGCTAATACTTAGACTTTTACTTAAGTAACATATTGAATGCAGGACTTTTACCTGTAAGGGAGCATTTTTATACTGTAGTATTGCTACTTTTACTTACGTAACCAGTCTGAGTATTTCTTCTTCCACCACTGGAAATAAGTATCAAACAAAGAATAGAACTCACTTTCTCTGTTCTCCAGCACACATATCATGGTTACTGCTTTGTAAATGGAAATATCTGGTGAATTTTGCATATTATTTGGTGATCAAAGCTCTCAGTCATTTTCCTTCTCTCTCTTTGTATGAAACCACCTGTACTGTAGGTGTCAATATGCATCTAATTCTTTGAAAGCAAGATAATAAATGTTAAGCTGAATAAACAAACCACACCTGGTCTGTAGCCTGTTGAGCTCTCTTCAGTCAGGATGTGGTGTGTAAATTGTTCAGCAATCATGTATGTACACTGAAGTATGAAAAAAGCCAACATTTTTTCTGTTTTTTATTCAGACAGAATCTTTTTGAAACATCATAAAATTCTCAAGCCTTCAATGCACAGTGAATATATTGCTTAATATTAATTATGAACAAACCACTGAAGGCACATGTATAAGAAGAGGGTTTACAGGCTAAAGTGACAGTAATGCTTTATTAGAAATAAAAATGACTATTTAAATAAAAACAGAATTTGGACAGTAGCAGGTGGAATATATGCATGAGAAATTTGTCTGTATGTGTGTTTGCACCGAAGACACTAAAACAGCAAAGCAAAACAGGCCCTGGAGCATTTATTGTATAATGGAGGCCTAAACCGGTTCCACCACATTACATGAACGACACTCCCTGACTGCAAGTTCTCACAGGCATGAAACATTGTTGGCCTGAAGAAACACAAATGACAATAACATAGGAACTGTCTTAAAATAAGACTGACACGTTACACCACTTTAATTACATTTGTGGATGGCCAAAGAAAATGGATATAAGAAAAAAAATCTTGCTTTTGTGTTTAGAAGCTCTGCATAATCATAGTGTTATGCAACACTAGAGGAAATGTGATTCAGTGATGTCAGTGTAATTTTGTTCTGGTGAAGGACCTTCAGACATTTTTGCCCTAAATCCAAGTCAAAGCTTACCAGTTAAAACACTGACTTTCTAATACATTCTTCCTAATGGTTGCCAAGTAGAGCAATAAAGTGAACATCTGCCAGCACACTGTTGGCTATACCAGCATCCTGATTTCAAATGTGATTAACTTGCTTTGCTTTTTTTCACTGTATTTACTTCTCCTTGGCTCTATCTTTAGGAAACATGGGGTGTCCTTTCATTGTTATGCTGATGACGTCCAGATTATTATGCCACTGAGTAAGAAGGACTCCTACTCGATCCAACCGCTTTTAGCATGTCTTGCCGATATTAAGGGCTGGATGTTGTTAAACTGTTTAAAGTTAAATGATGCTAAATCTGAGGTTATAGTGTTTGGCCAGAATACGTCTGGCGACCCTCTTCCTGTAGACTTAGGTTACTTGGGGCAGTATGTGCGACCGGTGGTCACTGATTTGGGTGTTAAAATAGACTCCGATTTGAAAATGGAGAGCCAGATAAACGCGGTCGTAAAATCTGTTTTTTCTATTTAAGGCAGTTAGTGAAACTAAAACCCTTTTTGTCACGGCAGCATCTGGAGGACCAAGAAAATGAGAGCAAAACAACAGAAACTCTACTTTTGTTTTCTTCATATCTTTTTTGTTTCTTGTTTGTCTTTATTTATTTGCTGCAGCTGAAGCCAGTGGCTTATAATCAGCCTCTGTGAAGCTTCTTTGAAAGCATAGTTTTGCAAGCTACTAATTGCTTTGCTTTGGAAGAAGCTCAACTACAGCAAAACTACTCCAGGGAGGAATCCAAATCCCACAGTGGATGAAACTTGTCCTGCCAGGGCTGTTTACTATTCCAAACTTAACTGGCAAGAAAAGAGAACGCAGTTAGGTCTTAGTGTGATTGAGAATCATTCAGAAAGTAGGTTTTAGTAAATGTTTGAGACTCTGTACTGTTTCTTTAATTAACTACATAATCCACAAGGACACTCCCATAAATAACAGTGATTCATAAGAGGAACTTGTAAAACACAACTTTTATATACATCATTCTACTGCACAGTCAAGCAACACAGTCCCTAGTGTGTTTTCATTTGTAAAGAAATAC